TTTTCACCGGTAACGTAAAATCTTCTTACTTTGTTGACACAAATGCTAACGTGATTTTCTTTTATCCCTAAAAACGAATCGAAATCATAATAATTTCCATACAAATATTTTTTTGTTATTTTATTTTTATTTTTACATTATAATTAAAAATTGTATACAACTGTTTACATTTATTCGTTCAATACAATTCAAGTGATATTATGGATTTTATATTTTCTAGCATTTTAGTACAAAGTGACATTTCAAATTTATTACTTAATTTATTATATATATATCAATGTTCTACATTCTCTTCGATACGATTATATTATCTTTTGATGGTAATATTTTAATTTTTATTTTCATTTGGACAAGTAGGTAGTTAAGATTTTATGCAAAAAACAACTATGGAAAATGTATAACACAGTAAAGTAACTGACATCACAATAACCGTACATTATTATTATGTAAAACACGTAAGAAAGGTATAATGTTTTAAGTTTTTTTTAATCAACGATCCACGTGAAAACAAACATCGTACGCGCGTTATATCGGTGGTAAACTTTTCGAATAACGTACTGGAACGAACAGAATATTTTATACTTTTATTAAAAATGAATACTTTAAATCCGTTCTGTTTTATAAGCTGTATTGTGTATTTGCTTAATTTTTATTTATTTAATTTTAATCACTTCAACAAACCGAATAATTTTATAACGTTACAAATCTTACAAAGTTTTAATATATTAGTAATAGTCAATTTAAACATGAAAGAAAAATTTGGTTGTTTTTTTTTTGCTATGGTTAGTAATAACAATTATTCTTTACGGGTTTCTAAAACTAAAACTTATGATGGGCGTGGTTTTAGTCGAAATTTGGAATTAGAAAACTCCGTGAGAATAACCTTGAGGATCCGTGGACTCATCTGAATCTTGAATATCTTGAATGATAATGATCTCGAATATTCAAACACTATTTCTAGTTTGATCGTAATATAGTTTACACATTAGACAGTATAATTTGAACCATCCGTCCGTCCCGTCATACAAAACGAACGCAATACGAAATACAACTAATAATTGTTAATATTTTTTTAAAAAAAAAAAAAAAAAAACCCGGAAAGTAAACCATCTCGTACACAATTTTTTTTTTTTTATGGTTTAAAATTAGCCGCGTCGGTATCGGGGGTTTAGATTTGTTTAGTGTCTTACGAAACACCGTAACTCGCCATAGACGCGCAGCGGACTACGGTCGATGTCGACGCGCTAACCGAGCGGTTGTTGGAAACGCGTTCCCGGTGCGGTGCGAGACGTGATCGACGCTAATTAAAATTCGCGTTCATCCGGTAACGGTTAACGAGGTGACGGGGACGCGATGCTCAGGGAGCTAGAAAAAGTTTTCACATTAGCCACTACGAGGAGGGATGGATTTTCTTCGGGACGGACCTTTCGTCGCGCGTCATTTGTCACGCGTACGGACGGCACACGTGTGCCGGCGGCCTCTGGACGTTTTTCATTCGTAAATCGATCGGCCATCCGTCTTTGGCGCTCTCGCACGAGGGCCGTTTGTCGGTGGCCGCGGTGACAGCGTGCGGGCGTACATTTACGTGCGTGCGCGCAACGTAGGACGAGCATCCATCAATTAGCGTCCGGCGCACGAGAAACGCGTGTGATTCCGCCCGCGGTTACGTTTCACGGGGGAGACCACGCGCGCGTTTTAACGAATTGAACGTGTACGTGCGCCGCGCTCGTAGATCGGTCTTGCTGTGTCGGAATCGAATAACTGCCAGTGGCTTATGCGACTGTGCTAACCTAACCGGCATTATTTGGAAACGGAACCCAAGACGAAATCCGTCCGGATTAAACGGTTAAACAATCCACGTAGCCGTCACGCGGACGTATAACGATTACAGTCGGCGGTGGGAACCGTGCCTAATGAAAACCCGTGGACAAAATGTAATTTCGCGAACCGGACGAGAACGCACGAGGCATGATATATGTGTTGCGGATAAAACACGTTTTTTTTACAACCCTCAGACGGTACGCTTGCACGCGATACTATTATGCGGCGTACATCGTACACTAACGTTTCCACAACACTAGTGGCTACAGTTAGATTTTAACAAATACGTTTCAAATTGTAGTGAAATTTATGGCAACTGTACATTGTTGTTATGCATTTTTTTTCTATTGTGAAGGTCTACGATGCAAACGAGCTGAGACACTTATGTGTAGTTATGGAAACACAAGAAAATATGCACGGCTATAAGAAAATCAGCAATATGCTTCCAGTTACATATGTGCTGCGATACCAATACCTTAATAATGTATTAGATGGTACAGTGTTGCCGAACAACATTTTGAATGGTCTGTTCGGTAACTGGTTCACTCTTAAGAAATGTTGTATTATTATTTAAATAAAATAAATATACCTATATTTTATAGTAAATAAACGATAACTTGGTCTAATATTTTAGTTATTAAGGGTGGCTATTTTTCACAGGCTTACAAGCGGAAAACATGTAAATATGCCCTTGGTTGAGAGTTCACCCCTTCTCAAAAATCTTTAACTTATTTTTGCATTTAAGATAGAATTTAGGTAATTAAACGTCTTAAATAGTAATTAATAAACGGGCAGTATTATAATTTATTGTTTATTGGATCAATTCACTTATTACTCGTATACTAATCCATTACGATACCTCCAATCACCCTAAAAATATGGTCTGGTCATAACCATATTTGAACCCCGAGTTCGACGCCACTGAGATGGTAGTCGAAAAAAGATGAGTTATTGGTAGTAGTTAACGGCAACACTGATAATAGTCAGTATGATAAGTATAATGTAAATCGTTTTCTGCAAAAAATTGTTCATGCTTGCCACAATAATTTTTCCATGTTTTATTATATTCCCGCGCACAAAAAAAATTACGTAAACCTATCGCTCTTTCACTTTACAACCGCGAATCTCATGTTTTATGTAGTGTGCGTAATAGTTGTATTAATTCTGTTCGTTCGGTTGGTATACAAAGAACAATTAGTTTAATGTCTCGAAATGTTTAATTCCGTCGTCGTCTCGAGTGCATGGTTGAAGTTAATTTAATTGTTTACTGTTCCCCAGATTATGGGTTTTCGAAAGACCTTTATACGTGATAACACCATCGTTTCGTACTTAGCGCATCGTTCGACGAATTTCGATTTCGTGACATGTTTCCGACCTGTGGTATTTAAATTAATAAATAAATCTGCGGCAAAGAGAAAACAACTGTATTTCATGAGTACGATCGCCTTGTATGCATGCGCACGGTAAATATTCGACGGGTTCCTAAACCGCACAGCCTTATGTCACAAATGTACAATCCAAGGACTCAAATTAATAACTAATGCAAACGTTCAAAATACATACACATATATGTCACACTGAATAATCGGCAAAGTTAAAATCTGAATACTACGTAGTGCAGTAGACAAAACGTAACGTGAACGGTTAGCTAAAAAGCACTTGAAACGCAACAATAATTATGCGTGCGGCAGTCACAAGAGTATTGCTATAAAGCAAAAAGATTCAAATATTCACCGAAACTTATAAGCCCTAAAGTCTTTAATGACAGTGCGATCCCGCAAGTATACTCACGTGAGGGGGGGGGGGGGGAGGAATAAATAAATTCTGCGTGATATTATATTATAGCGATTCGGGCAGCGAATCGAGTCATAGTTTCTCCTGTGAACAAGACTCGATGGACGGATGGATGAAGAAGGTATAGTTTGGCGAAGAATTCTTATCGTAAAACAAAGTGCGTCTTTGGCTTTGGCGTTGCTTTTTTTTTTTAGTAGAAAAATCTTCTCACGTACCTGTACTGCGAAGCGCGAGGACGATGATAATTCGGCATTTGCATGCGTCAAAGTTGTAAAGCCTTTGGAGTGGCGATAATCGTGATATAACTTATAGATATTCAAATTGCGTATAACCGCGTCTAGAGAGAAAGAGAAAGCTCTATGAGGGTGGCAGGTAGTGTCGACGTAAATATACAACGTAATATATAAATATACACATATACTCGTGTTGTTCCGGTACGGTTCATTATCGTTAAGTCGAAGAAAGCCTTGGGTGTTATTTTTTTCTTCGCCTCCCTCGTCGCCCCACCCGTGTTCGATTCACTACCCCTCGAGCGAGCAAAGTTACGACGACACGGCCGCACTCCTCGAGCAGTATATCTTATACACATACATTCGCGTACGTGCGGCAATGTACACGCATACACGTACGTACGTATATATATATGTAAATATACGGTATAGTTGCCATTGGGGACGGGATGTAAAGAGGTCGTAAGAAAATCGTAACCACGTATCCAACTGCCGCCCACCGTAGGACTCGAGTGACGTTATCAGGAAGGGGGAGAACAACTACCGTGGTACCGGTATGCAAAAGAAGAAAACGGCTGCGACGCTCGGTACAAGGGAAATGGCGACGGGAGAAAAAAAAGATAGGAAGAGCAGGAAAAAATTATCGTTTTGGATCGCTACGATATTTCAACGGGCCCCCGCGGCCCGTGGCCGTACCCTAGGGGAAAGCTTGACGGGGTGCGATGGGGAGCAGGGAGAAGACTTTGTTTTATTAGGCACTTGGCGAAAACCCCTCGTCTCATTTGCATCAGCACTGCCGTCGCCGACGCCGAGAACAAAGCGGCACTAAACTTTTATGGCTCCGCAGACGGCGGCTTGCTGCAGGACACAGGGTAGGCGGGGGGTAACTTGGGCGCGTGAGTATTAACGTTTGCACCTGTTTTTTGCACATTAAGAACGCACGTACGCCGAAAAACGTTGTTCTTCTTATTACGGTTATTATTTTTTTCTGCCATCCTCCTTTCCCTTCTCGCTAAGTCCACATTGCCATCACTTCTCTCTTGCTCCATCAGTCCCTTTTACCGAACTATGATGCCCCGTTTGGTCGGTTATGTCGGTTAACTGAAAAGTTTTCCCCGAAATTCACCTCTTTATACCCGACCGTTGTTGTTACAGATTTGAAACAAGACTTTCGGGTGCAGCCCAAAGACGTGACTCCAGCGTCCGGTGACACGGCCGTTCTGGAATGTGATCCGCCCAAAGGACATCCCGAACCGTTTGTGGTGTGGCACAAAAACGGCCAGCCTATGCCAGCGGATGAAAAAAAAAGGTAAACGTACAAAATGATGATGTGCCGTACGAGTATAATAATAAAAATAATCATAAAATCGTACTGTTAGGCAGTTTGTGATTTTTTTCCCCTATTAAATTATATTTTTAAGTAAACTTTTTTATACGTACGAGTATAATATGTGTGATAATTTATTAATACTGTATTATATTGCTTTTAATCCAATTCGGATCATTAAAGTAAATGTTAGTTGTTGTCGAATACATTACCGCAGGATATATTAAAAATAATTGGATTCATTTATCAATTCCAAATCCCAGATTTTGATTTTTTTTTTTTTTTAAAGTTTTAAATTTTATATTTATTAACGGTCTCTAATTGATAAACTTCTACACAGAGAATAAACAAAAACATTTGCGTATTAAAATTCGTATTTCGTTTCGGATGTTAAATTTCAAACTAAATTCTTTTAGCTATTTCAATAAAACGTTGTAACGCAACTATTATACGAATACCGATTTGAACTATAACGCTGAAGAGGAAACGTATAAAATAAGCGATTAACATTTAACGTCGGACAGAATATTTTAATTGAATCTCTCTTTTTGGTTTTTACGGAGGGAAATTATATTAAACATACATTTTTTTTCCCTATCCCAACACAATAAAACTACGTAATGTTGAATATTAAATTTTACGCTTTAGAATGTACCGCATTTTACGTCAACCAGCATTTATTTATTTTACTTATAAATTAAGTCAAAGGTAATCATTTTAGATGGTACATACAAGACACTGGAAATTTAATTATTCGAGACGTGAAATCCGAAGACGATGGATCATACACATGTGTAGCTAACAATTTAGCCGGAGTCCGGAGATCTAAACCGATCCTGTTAGTAACTCAAAGTAAGTACTCAACGTGCGTGTTTGGATATCAAAATTGCATACTAGTAATGTTTGTTTTTACTGTTAAAAATTAATTTAGTACGTCCATACATGATCCAAGCTCCAAAGGACACCGTGGCCATGGCTGGTTCTAGCGTACAGTTGCAGTGCAAAATCGGTGGCACTCCGCAGCCGGAAGTGTTTTGGAAAAAAATTTCGAACACGGGCGTCGCACAACATATACGCCCTGATCACTATAGGTAATTGTACTATTCTTTCGACAACGTATTATATTGAGTTTTGGTAAAAACAGTTTGTTTTTTGAAAAAATTCCGGTTACACTAATTATTTTGTCCATTCTGGTTCGTTGAAATGCAAATTATTCATGGACCTTTAAAGTTAAAAATACTTTAAAGAACTTTCGAACAAATATTATTTTTTCTACCATTAAGGAAAAGTTCTAGCGAAAAGTTTAAAACAACTTGAAACCGTTAAATCTAAAAACATGGCTGTACAATTTTCGTCAGACGATATTTTATAAAGAGATTGTTCGTGAAGCCCCAAAAGTATTCATAATTTTGAATTCGATTATATAAAGTCAATTGTTTACGCTCTAATTTTTTTGATTCAAAGACCGCCATTTACTAGAGTCCCTTGCCGATTCAATTTGCTAAATATATCATGAGATACATGGATTTACAGTCAATTTAAGATTTAGAAAATTACACCATTTATTGTAAACGGTTATATTAGTGTTCAGTGAACATATAATGTTTCTACGATTATTATTTTTTTAATTACGAATCTTCGTAACTTGAAAATTCGATTTTTCAAAATCGGTATTCCGTAAATTTTGCTATATTTTGATAACATTACGTTTGTTTCTATCAATTACTAAAAAATTGTTAAGAAATTCGTAAAATTAGTCATATAAACTAAGTAGGTAACATTTTCTATCAGAAATATCGTATGGCTGTGATGGTCGGAAAAGTTATTTTGGTTGAAATCATGTACACAGTTCTGAAAAAAAAAATGGTTAGTGATAAAATAATATACAATTATTAGTGATGAGGGTTTGTTAAAATTTTATGTGTTTGGCAATTTTTTTTTTCTATTTTTCGTATATGTTCATAAATGTGTTGAGAAATTTAAAGCAATTGATTTATTTCAATTAAAAATAGACTAACAATATGTATGTAGCTTAACTCAAGCTTGAAGCAAACGTATCGCGTTAAACCAGGGGTGGCTACAGGACCTTGGTTAGGGGGGGGGGCAATTTATAATTTTATAAAATCTTATAACAAAAAGATAACAACAATTTAGTCCATTCAGAAATGTGTGCTATCCAATTCATTTTTTGAACATTATGAAATAATATCATAGTATATTTTACATTAATAAAGTTTATTTATAGCCTTATTGGTTCTACATAATATAGATAGCAAGTAGATCGTATATGTATCCTGCTATTGTCATACATTTATGGCTTTATCTACATACTTGTGCATGTCATATAATGGTCCATATTATAATATGCATTTTTTGTTAACAAAATAAATTTTTTTATAAATACGGTACGGGTTTGGGGACGAAGGCCCCTAGGCCCCCCCCCTGGAGCTGCCTCTGCATTAAACGGATGTAGTATATTTATCTTTGCATCCGTCGGTATAAACATGCATAGTATTATAAAAATATTATAGTGGTCCATATTATAGTTTTTTAATAAAATAAACTTCAGATGTGATTAGGATAAAAAAAAAAATGATTGATGTCGCAGGAATGAGAAGCTTTCCGAAGACAGAGACACGTTCGAGCACGTTTACATAACGCAAGACGGCAGTCTGAGATTAGACAACGTAAGTCCGGAAGACGAAGGGAAGTACGTGTGTCACGCAGAAAATCACCAGGGCAAAGTAAACGCTGCATCTTCCCTTACCGTGCACTGTGAGTATGGCTAAATGGTTTATTTTATAAACAGTAATTTAAATTCATTCCGTACGTAAAAGATCGTATAAATAAACACTCGTACACATTACTATACCATAAAATACCGTTTCAATCTTCCTCTGTCGCTCTTTTTCGTTTTCAGCACGAAAACTAAATTAAGTACCTGCGGACGCAAGGAGACGCGACACTGACTTAAACGCGATTAGAACGTTTAGCCGTTTATTGGAATTTTACCTGTTGTGTGAAACAATTGTTTACCGTATACGATGTTGAAATAAAGCTTACACGTAACTACTACTTGTGTATTCCATGACTTAAGTACACCAAGTAGATATTTTGAAGCTGAATCATGTCGAGTTTTAATCAACGGGTAAAAGTATCGCAAGAGTATCACGACCGTCTCTGTCAAACAAAACTTTTCGAAAGCTAGTCCCCACAGGATAGACTACATAGTTACATTATCTCGAACTAAAGCTCATACTTGCAGTTGAATTATTCAATCGACGAAGTTATTAAGTATTATGCTAGTCGTGTTTTTGCGTTGATACTTGCCGTCCGCATAATATTACGGATAAGTTTGTTCTCGGATCCCTACTGAACTCAAATCTTATTCACCATGCTTACATATCATTGAGGTTATGAAACATCTTGACAGTGATGAAAAAAAATATTTAACCTTTGTTAGTCGGACTTGTTAGTTAGGGACCACGGAGGTTATAATATTTTTTCTCCATATATTTCTAAACCAGTTATTGAACGCGTTACATAATGCGTGCAAATAAAAAACCATCGACGATAGTCATATATTATCATGTAATTGCTCTGTATGGTTCCAAATGTAATTATTATTGATGTACGGTGTTTTAAATCGCACATAACATGTAGTATAGATGAAGATTAGTAAAGCTTAAGTTGCAACACGGTTTAATCAACCTATTTTTATTATGAAAATCGGCGACATACTTGCCATTTGGAAACACTGTGAATTGATTTCGATTTAATCAACCTTATTTTCGCTTACCTACACGACACCATGAATAATAATCATGATAATAATAATAATAATAATAATAATAATAATAATATGGGGTGGCACGGGAAAGACGAACATTTCGTTATTATCTTCAATTGGGTACAATCGGAGTTCTATAAATAAATCAAAAAATCCGTTTTCTCGATGTTACAACACTATGAGATAATTGCAATAATTTAAGTATGGTTGTTAGATTTATGTTTTGTGATTCAATAAAAATCTATAAAAAAAATTTATTACGGCTTAAAAAAACAATTTAAATTAAAAAAATATTCTTAAGCTACGAAAGCGCAAGAACAGTAAGCTGTTTGCATTAAGTAATTATGTTTATTTTATTTTATTTACTGCGTTAAATATAATTACTGACGAGTCTAACGTGATTTGATTTTAATCAATGTTTGAAAAATAAAACCATCGGTCAGAGTTTAGAGTTACGGACAGCCAATTGAATTACGTATTGAAAAAGCCGCTCCCTTCGCATGCAATCAAAAATATTGTTCAAACGAAGAATAAATCTTCGACCGAAATATGAAGAAAAAATAAACGATAATATTAGTTTCTCAGCAACATCCGTGTACGGAGGAGAATCGAGACGGAACAGATTACAATATCGAAAAACGGTCGAAACACACTTACCTACCAAGTTTCGAGGTGCTTCCCAAGTTGTACGTTTTACAATATCATTATGATTATTATGGTACGACGGACTTTTAAATGGTGTCAAAGTCCGGCGACGGTTTTCAACGCCAGTCGCGTACAGAGACGGCTTGTAAGCACTTACTACCGGGGCGGTGCACCGGTAAAAACATTTTTTATCTACATTTTGGTTAAATAAATTAAAATATAATAGGCATACCTATTTATGAACATAATAGGATTTAAATTTATTTTTTAGCGTTTAAGTAATTTCAATGTAATACGAGGGAAATCAGAAAAACAATTTTCAGGGTAGGGGGGGGGGTGACTCAAATTATACTGCCCCGGTATGATGTAAATATTCAAACCGTTCCTGGTTGCGTATCGCAATCATAACGAAAACCATGGACATGAACACACGTACACACGGTGAAGCGCCGATACATGCACACCCTTTACTCGTCCTGGTTACACGTGCGACGTTCACGCGCGGAAACTTTTCGCTCGCACCGCCGCCGCGATTATCTCGTCCTGCCAAGCACCGTAGTGTTCCGTTCCGTATCGACGTGGTTTTTAATTATTTTCTCGGCTTTCACCGGCAACGGTTTTTTTTTTCATTTTCCTACCCCTCGGCACGCGCTCGCCGTCTTAACTCGCCGACCAGACTACACACCCTCCCGAGCGCGTACCGGGTGAGCTCGTACGCGGGAGTGTGTGCGCTTACATAAAACAGGGCTCCTCAAGGGAGCTTTAAATGCCACACCTCTATCGTGTCGTGCGCTTGCGGCGCCCACAGTGATATAAACAATTCGGCAACTACTCCTATACATTCTCAGGAGCTTCCCATTATCTCCGACGGCTTTTGTTTCGTGTCCGCCCACGTGCGTACCCGTTGCGCTATTTTCTGTCCGCCTATCGCCGTCACGCCGTTTTCGCGGCACAACAGTCTGGTGGTCGCGCATTAATCAAATACACCCTGCGAACACCGCGAACCCTGTACATAACATTAAATATGTATATGCGTGTGTGTGTTTGCGCAACACGTACACCGCGATTCACGCGTCCTATTGTCTGTTGCCCGAATTACCATATCCTCCGATCCCGCCACCGGCCGATAAACTCATGAACACTGGTACGGACGATTAACCGGATCGGTAACTTGTGATAAGAATTGAAGCCGCTTTGACCGTGGGATTTTGAGAGCCTGTTGTAAAGTGTACGGTGCACTGATATGGATTGAAACTGAGGCATTCAAACTTCTCCGTCCCACGGCTCCTTTATGTCTTCACGGTATTTCGACGTTTCCCGAATAGGTAATGCAAAAAAAAATGTGTATGTAAACTATTGTAATGTGCAAATATTTGTTTATTACTCGCACGACTCTGGGAAATAGTTCAAAGATAATTGAGTAATATAGAAAATATGACATTTCATGCTTTATATATATAGATTAATAAAAAAATAAATAATGTTTTATAATCTATTCAAATCTTGGTTCTAGTTTATTAATAGCTATTTAAATCTCATTCACATCATTCACTTTTAACCGATATTTTATTTTAATTACAACCAACGCAGAAAATCCCGTCTCGCGTAGGTATGAAGTACCTAAAATAAACATAATGTATGACATTCGTCGAAGTTTTGCTTACCAATTCTGGAGATTGTAGTTTCACATGAGTCCAAAATCGAGTTGACGATGGTGATACAAATGTGGTCTTCATTTAGAAATCTGACGCCGTATCGATTTCGCTCATATCATTAGGTCGTAATTTTATTAAGTTCAAAAACATAATTTTTTTAAAAAACTTTAAATGTTGCATTTCCTTGCAGCAATTTATTTAAACACTTAGCTTTGAAAGAATATCAGAAAGACAAGACAGCTTCGTAAAAAAATGACTGTTTTCAAACTTTTCGTGGTGTTTAGTGTCATCGAAAGGAAAATATGTTGTTATTTGCAAAATGATCACGTGTTTTTCGTTATGATTTCAATAATGCCTCAAATGATTATTTTTTTATATATATTGATTATATTACGTTAGTATTAGTGTCCAGTTTATCAACACGGCTTCCTTCTCCCACTCTCACAACGCCCAGTTTGAATATCTCTGTTTTAAAAAATGGTAATATGTACGATAACACCTATGTGCTTCCAATATGGTCACCAATTTTCTGTTTTACTCAAATGCATAAAAATTATAGGACACACCTTGCCAATATCTGTGTTGATATGCCACTTTTTATTCTCGCCATAGTATCATAATGGTCACGTGCAGTGCTGTTATGGCAGACGCGGTCTTGTCGACGCGAGCTCATTCATTTTCACCCGACCCACCACACTCCGAAATCGATCAATTTCTATTGAAAACGAAATACTGTGATAAGGGTCCGTGGAATGGCTCTACATTTTTTGTAAATACTCCAATGACAATATTTTTCAGATGATGTTTAATAACAAAATAAAACAATAATAAAATAATTTTGAATCGATTCTTATAACAAAAATATATTATGATTACACTTTTTATAAATTGCAACTTCAAAATATAAAATTATATTTAAATAAAATTCATTTTTTTTTTAGTAGCTTCTTAGTTTTTTAAAGATGATCGTGACTATACTATTTATCTTAAAAATATTTATACACACTCAAATGCACGAACTCGACCGGCCACAGAAAGTGTACGTCCAAACGAAGTGCATTTTCAATAGTAGTCGCAAAAAGTCTGTTTTCACCACTCTTTATTCTGCAAAAAATATATTAATACTCTGTTCATAAATATATTATTATGTATCTACTGCTTATCACCGTATTGCTTACCGTTTAAAGTAGAAAATTGTTATTAATATTATTACAATGACGTGTATTAATGATGAAATATAATGATAATGTAATAATGAAATATGGTCAGAAGAGCTCGTTTTACAAATTCGATGACATTGTCAAACGCGAAAATGCGGCGCGGTGGTGTACACTTGAACAAAACATATGTTTGTTTCGCCGCATTTGAATGTTCCCGTGGTAATTTCATGTTTTGTGTTATTAACATTAACAGCTTTACCCTCGTCACGCTGAATAACGGTATGGTGGATATTCCAAATACTTGTTAAATTGTTCGAAACACATTGTTTTAAGCTTCTAATTTATAATTTATTCAATTATAATTACCTGAGAATGACGTTTTTCAATTGATTAAAAATTTCTAATTTTCAATAAGTTCACACGCAACTCAGACAGTTAATGATTAATAACTGTTTGATTATCATTGCTCTTATTTTTAGATTGTTTTTTATTTTTACTTATTCTTTTTATTTAACATAATTGTTGCCAATAATTATTATTTATATTTATATACTTGATATAGATTTAAAAACCGTATTGTTGTTAAATATTATTTTCATGGCGTCGTTTTTATTCGACGAAATAATTTGCGTGTGCACTAACGTAAATAGTACGCACACGTGCGGTACTATTGTTATACAGAGGAAAATAAATCTGTGTAATAAGTGCGTAAAATGCATTTATCTTGTAACACAAAGAATAAAAATAAAACAATTTTAAACAACTTTTATAAAATTCTAGACCCGATGATAGAATTAAAGGATTTTTTCCTCTATTGTGTGTAAGACGTCGAAATGCTTTTATCCAGCATTCGAACAGCTATCAATTGTTTTCCTACAACAAAAGTATTTCGATGACAAAAATCAACCATGTGAGCAAATATTAACGTCCATGTTTGCAATGCTTGTAGCGTACTCACTATTCAGCGTCATTACGTAAAATATTGAAATCCAAAAAAAATGCATTCTAAAATCCTTTCACGGAATTCGTGCTATATACGGAATAGCGGTTTACGTAAACATATACAATATATTTATATATATATGCGTAAATACCGTCGGTTTAATGATAACAATAATATTACGACAAACAGAAATCTCGAGATTCAGAACGTACAACACAGTTATATTAAAAAAATTAAAACTACATGATGCGCACAACTGCATTGTTTAATGTATTGTTAAAACAATGCTTTCAAGGAAACGTATAAAAGTTATATACATGCATTATTTTTTCGATTAATAAGTGTAAATATGATGTGCCAGTGAGCAACAAAGGAATGCAATCGATTAATTCGAAATGAGTATTCACCGTTAATGTTTACGCAGATACCTTAAGGCTTAAAACACGTATACTTGCCTTTTACACAGTCAAACTATTTGAATTATTTTTATTATCAAGTAAAAATCAAACAAAAATTCCCGTTTAACTTGCGTTTGGAATTTTTTCTCAGTTTAACAAGTATAAATAAAAATTGCATAGTACGGGCTTAGGTACATTATACGAAATACCGAGTAGAAATTTTATAAATTATATAGAAACTAACGCGTATGGAAAATTGTGATGTTAAATATACAGTAATTAAACCGAACAAATATATGTATATTTAGTACCTATCAAAGTTTATGTTTCTAGAATTTTATTTTTTCCAATCGCATTATAAATGTTTTTTAAATATATACGAATATTTCTAACGTGCATTGTTTTTTTTTTTTAATTTAAAATAGTTTTTATAATCATAATTGTTATGTTATTAACGGAAATCTTTGTTCATACGTGTATTATCGTTCAATATAATGAAACTCTTTGTTTTTCAGCTGTTCCATTAATCGCTCAAAGGCCGGCAGACACGCACGTATCGGCCGGAAGCAACGCTATATTCGAGTGTGGAGTCAGGGGCAACCCTAAGCCAACGATATTCTGGTCTTTGCAAAACAACGACACCGTCTTGTTCCCCAAAGAGAGTTGGAACGAGTTCCACGCTGAAGACACAAAAGACTCTGTGTCTACCCTGATCATATATGTAAGTTAAGAACTAAATACATTTAGTGTAACGACTTATTTTACGTGATTATCATTACACGAGTGCTACAAAACAAGTTAATAAAAATGTACATATAAATATTTTCCTATCTACCTAAATCATTACTAGCCTAAAGAAAAATTATTATATTGAAATTTGTTGAGTTGAAAATCATAAAATTTACAACAAAGATCTTTTCTTAGTGATTTTTATATTTTTTGCAATCAAAACGTCTAAAATGATTATTATTCTTGATCTCATTTATATATATATATATACTTATAGTACAGTGGTTCTCAATCTTTTTAGGACTACGACCCAAATTTTCTTCCAAAAATCCATCGTGAACCCATAGTTTTACATTTGCAGAATCAGTAAAAATAATTTCAAAAAACCAATTATTTCTATTTTATTACTTATTTACTACTTTATAATAATAATAATAATATAATACTTAATTAATAATTAGTCGTATGTGATAAATGTGCTTGTTTCTTACAATCTGTATAATTGAAAAAACTTCTCGCGACCCCCCAAAAATTAACTTGCGACCCTCTAGGGGGTCGTGATCCACAGTTTGAGAAACGCTGTTATACGAGTAGTATATACGTTTATACTATCATTCGTTTATACGAGTAGGTTGATTTTTTTTCGCACAATTTATTATTTTACGAATATCGTTTTTAATATTTGATAAATGTATACGAACACGAATATATATGTACGTGACGAAAAAATGCCAATTATATATTTCAATGAAGTGTTCAATATATCCTTCTCCTTTTACCCTGAGGTTTATCCTGTTTACTTTGCAATGATTTATCCATCACGTGTCCGTTAATATTTCATCGGTAACATTATTCGCAAACATAACGCACGTAATAATATTATCACTTCCATGACAGAACGTCAAAAGAGAACAGCATGACCAGCTGGTGGTCATGTGTTCGGCTACCAACGAAGCGGGATCGGACGAGTGGAGGGCCACGTTAACCGTTGCAGCGGCCGCGTACGAGGATACCCTGCCACCGATCATTGAATACGGTCCAGCCAATCAGACGCTGCCATACAGCTCGATCGGAAACCTGGTGTGCAAGGCCATCGGAAACCCGCAACCGGTGATCACGTGGTACAAGGACGATTCGCCTCTGTCGACGGAAATAGCCAGGATCAACATCACGGATACTGGGACCCTGCAGATTTCCAGTGAGTGGTGCACCGCTGAAATCTGTTTGTTACAACATCTAAGCTAGGGTGACCAGACGTCCCGTTTAAAATGGGATTGTCCCTTTTTTAATCACCACGTCCCGTTGTCTCGACAAACTTCAAATGGGACGCTTTTTATCCCGTTTTTAAAAGATTGTCCCATTTTAATCCCGTTATTGCCATATTATTTATTATATAAGTTATTAATGCTTGTAAATAAAATATCTATGTATGAAAAAATATAAAACAGTTTTACTTGTATATTTAAAATGTAAAACCAAAGTTAGAAATAACAGATAAAAGTTTTCGTGGAACGAGCGTCAAGTCCCGATGCCGACGAACTATAAAATTACCAATTTAATTATTTAATAATAATTAAAAGAAAATATTTTATTACTTAGATTATTTTACCAAAAAAGGGTAAAGTAAAAAGAAAATAATTGTTTATAATGACAAAGATTTGGACTTTAACTCCTGAGATTTGTGTGCATATATGTGGATGTATATGGATGAGGTTTTTTATTTGGGGGAAGGGGAGAAGTAACAGCTGTCCCGTTTTTTTATTTTCTTAATGTGGTCACCCTAATCTAAGCTTCACTCAACGAATCGAAAATTAAAACAATTCCGTAGCCCATCACGGTCATATTTATAAATAATCATATTATTATCGCGATCGTCCGCAACGGAGATAATTGAGTCATAACTCGACTCGTGCCGGCGTGAAATTTAGAATCGGGTCCGCGATAGCCTATTTCTAATGATTGAAAATAATTATTTATAAAACGCGGAAGTTCGTGAAATGAATAAAATATCTTATATTTATTTTATATTTATCTTATATAATATTTCGATCGGTACTTCCGAACTCGCGTACGTTTTCCAATTTCTCGTCATGGTTGATCGTGAGTGGAGACGGGGTTAGATACGAAAATATTTCCGTTTTCATGAATTTTACTATTCGTTATAGACCTGCAGAAAAGTGACAACGGCGTTTACACGTGCGTGGCGTCCTCGGTGAACGGGAAGGCCACGTGGAGCGCTGAGCTGAAAATGGAATCGCCGAAGAACCCCAACGTCGGCTTCTTCAGATCGCCCGACCCGTCCACGTTTCCCGGGGCTCCGAGCACGCCGGTCGTCGTCAACTACACGGACACGTCCGTCGTGCTGTCGTGGGGTCGCAACGGCAAGGTTGGATCGTCCCCCTTGCTCGGCTATCAGGTAACGTAACGCCACACAACTCGAACCGGGTCCGCACTAAATCGTGTCGCGTACTCCAACCAGGGCCGGCCAAGCGAAAACAGTACACTAGGCAAAATCAAATTTTGCCGCCTCTAAAAAAAAAAAAAAATTGAGCTCTTATTTTAACATAGCCCCTCCCCCTATTTTCATGTGACATTCCTAAATAAAAAAAATTCAATTTTTTATTTTATGTACGAAATTATATGTGAAAATGCTTAAGACTGATTTCTACAATTATTACTCAAAACCCATCACTATCGTGACCATCGGAAATTACGGAAGTAATTATGTGGTTATTTATATATTTGGAATAGCGTAGGCCGTAATATAAAATAATACAATAACTTTAGACAATATTATTTTATCATATAGGTAAGTGGTTTCACGAATGAATCAATTTAAATATTTTTCTTATAAAACTCCAATAGAACTAAAACAAATACTTGAATCAATTTCGAAAATGCTGTCCCTACTAAATTGCCGCTTTATACAGGTGCCTAACTTGACTACATCTTGAATCGACTTTGATTTCAACACATCGGTTTACCCGTTAAAACTTACGGCATCAATACGTCCCATGGACGGTTCACCATCTGTCAAACATCGATCGTGTTTTGTAAAATGATCCATTACGAACGATAAAATGACACGTTCAAAAATTGGGTTGGATTGACATTGTCCCGAACCAACTTCGGTAACTTTGGTGCCAATTTCATATGCACCGCGCGGAACACCTGAAAACGTTACCTCGGCCAATTAAAGACGATAATTTTACGCGATACAACGCAACGCGGACCCGGAACCCGAATGCGTCAGGGGCTCTGAAACTGAACCCAAAAGAACCCTTAAAATATTGGGAACGGGAACCGAATTTTCACATATTCATAGAACCGGAACCCTCGTTATAAAATAAAAAATATCGGATGTAACAAACATAATTTAATTATATTTTTATTCTTAACATTTCAAAGCATAAATACATTTCTGTGATATAATTTTTGTAAAATTGTATTTTTAATATTATGTGCTCGCCTAGTACAATGCCATAATACATGTAATTTTTAAATATGTATCAAAAAATACCAAGGAATAAATTTTAAAAATTTAATTTAGAACCCTATAATACCGGAACCCGAACCCAAACCTTTTAATAAAATAATTGAGAACTGGAACCGTAAAAACTTAAAAGTACCAGTCCCTGGAACGCGTGGTCGCCGTACCGTCGAAACACGGACCGATTGATCAACCTTTCGGCTTTCAGGTGGAAATGTTCACTTACGGCGAGAACGTCGGGTGGGCAACGTTGGTGCGCAGACTGCACTCGACTCATTTCACGCAAGCATTTTTGCGGCCCGGACGGTCCTACCTGTTTTTGGTGCGCGCGGAAAACTCACACGGTCTCTCACCGCCCAGCCATTTATCCGGTCGCGTCACGCTGCCCACAGAATACCACCAGAACGTTCCCTACTCCCACGACATGTCCATTGCCAAGTCCACGTTATTCGGCGGCCACATCGTCGACCTCATCGACATCAAGACCGTCAGTTCGACTTCGATAAAACTCTTCTGGGAGGTAAGAAACACCGCACACCCGAGTAATACAATAATCGGTATTATACTATTCTACACGCGCACAGCCGAAGTGTACGAGAATTTTTTTTTTTTTTTAATGTGTCCCGAACACTAAATTATTTTCAAGCTCTTATATTAAAAAGTATTCGAAAATTAAGTTACGATTGACTTTCTATTTTACATCATGCATTTGCCTTGCAAACAAAAATATCCATACGAGGGACACTAAAACTGTTAAAATGTACACAAACTAGTTATGTACTGATTATCTACAAAGGGATGATAAATAAAAGTTTGAAAAATGTAATTCATAGCTAGTTGAAAAAGTGTGAAATCCGTTCGCCAGTCGTTTATCATCGAGTCCGCCAAATCTATACGTACATATCTTAAAATTGTTTTTTAAACTAATTTGTTCGTTGCAGATACTCAACGGAGAGTTTTTGGAAGGTTTTTATCTGTACTGTCACAGCAAAAACTTGACCGGCCGAAATTCTACGTTAATGAAGTTATTATCGAACGCCACGGAGCTGTCCGGGGCTTACGTGGTCAACTCACTGCAGCCGTCGGTTAGTTATGTGTTCTTCTTGGTGCCGTTCTACAAACACATCAAGGGCCGACCGTCGAATTCGAGAACCGCCAAGACTCACGAAGACTGTGAGTGCTTCACTGCCCAATCCTCGGATCACGTTTTCTCCCGTTAAATAACTTAATTTTTTTTATTTTTCACCTCCGCAGGCCCGTCCGAAGCACCCCAGCACGTCGAGCCGATCGCGTACAACTCCAGCTCGGTGTACCTGAAATGGAATCCACCGCCGGAGGACTCGCACAACGGCGTCATCACCAGTTACCAGGTGGTCATACAAGGCGGTGTTGGCTGGGACGTGCTGAGCAACGTTACTGTCAGCGCCAGCACGCCGACGCTTCTGCTGACGAACCTCACGTCGGGTGTCCGGTACAAGGTCATGATCGCAGCCGCGACCAAGATCGGTTTCGGCCCGTACACCGATCCCATCCTACTGCCCACGGAATCCATGAATCAAATCAAGTAAAAGCACATATATTACTTAATGCACGTACAAAACGGTGTGCGCGTTATTCACGCGTGCGTGTTGTTGTTATTGTTTAGCAAATTTAACGACGCGGTAATCGACCACGAGGAGATCAAAGAGTTCGTAGCCGAACCGTGGTTCATCCTGTTGATGGCCGGCGTCATTACGCTGATGATCGTACTGCTGGCGGCCATACTGTTCGTCAGGTACCGGCAACTGGGCGCGAAGAAGTCGCATTTAGGAGGTACGTTCCACGGTAAACAATACCGTCGATCGCTTTGCGATAGGAAAAAAAAAGCTCTCGCTAACAATTAACCGTTGTAATGTACAGATTCGTTGAACGCCGCCAACAAGCTCTCATATTCGTCCGGTTTCAAAACGACATTGGACGCGTCCCACCGGGGACAAGTGGCTTCGTTCTTGCAATCCGATCACAGCGTGTCCAACAGTCAACGGTGCCTTTTCATCGACGCGAACTCGTGTCACAAACCCAACTGGTACGACACACACACACACACACACACACACACACACACACACACACACTATACTTACACGCTCGTCGCGTTCGTTCGTTTTAACCTTCTCGTTCGTTCTTCCACAGGATGCATCACGACATCGATAGCAGCGAAAAAGACTCCAGCCAACAGCTGCTGCCGGAAATCGCGGACTACGCGGAAGTGAACCCGAACACGATGAGCACGTTCTTGAAGGAACGCGAACTCTCGTCACCCGCTCCTTACGCCACTACCACGTTGGTCTCGAATTCGAGCTCTAGAAACGTAATGAGATTTTCGAACGATTTGACGGCAGCAAACGCGACGTGTGTCGAAACGCGATTGATATCAATTTGTTCTTCATTGCAGATGAGACGCAATTCCGAGGACACGGCGTACGCATCGGCCAACATTTACCGCGCTCAAAACGTGTACTCCGAAAGTGGTTACAGCTGTTGTTCGAGCAACAACGATTGTCAGAGCTGCATGGGTACGTATATGCGCGTTCTCTAAGCGTCCGTTGTACATGAATATGTTAATGGTGGATAAAAAAAACCAACCCTATTGTTGTGGAACATAACAATTTATATTATAAGATTGTACAACACTGTATGTGTACGAAAGTACCGTACAATAATAATGATATTATTATTCGAGTTCGGTACCTTTTGTAAAATATATTACGCGGAGTTTAAAAATGATAATAACATCACGTTATATTTCGAACACATCTTAAATAGAAATAAATAACGCTGAAAAATGTTTCGGAATGACACGAGATGATATCGTCATAAATGATGAAAACCTATTTATCGTGGAAAACTATTTTTGTTTTTTTGCAAAAATGTTGCTCGTTTGATATATATCGCATTATTATACCCGAAATAATGACGGAAGATAAACGTATGAAACATAATCGCGTGCCTATTCGAATAACAAAAAATTATAGGCAATTAAAGATGTACATTCATAAGCTTATATTGTAACACTATTAATTAAACGTCTCGTTATATTTTTATCGTACGTTGGATTTTACCTTAAATATGTCTTTTTACGGTACAAGAATAGGAAAAAAAAACAATAAAACAATGATAAATAATAATTAGGGATAGAAACGAGTAAATTTCTTAACGTAAAAAAAAATGAATAAAGAATAATTAATAATAGTATAATATTATTCTGAAATTACATCGAAATACTTTCAAAACTATGTGAATCGTCAATCCGTGACGGAAAGCTCCGTAGGATTGTCAACGACGATAACACTAGAAATAATAATAGAAATAGCTGATAATAATTTAATTCACTCATGTTGTGTTTAGACGATTGCGGAAGCATGCACGGCGTTCCCGTGTCAGTCGTCCTGAGCGGTTGTGGCCGGAAAACGTTCAGCGAAGTGTCTCACCACAGCAACAAAAGCGGTTCGCGGTTCAATTATCCACCGTACTCGTCGAGACAAAGGGCCCTGGTAATAGCAATAAATTCTCTCTCCGTCCGCTCTGAAATCGAGCTTGAAAGTATTGTTTGACCCGACGTTCTGACAATGGATTGCACACATTAAGAGTGCTTATTTTAACCATTTTCTGACCGGTATTTTTGATAAATTAAACAATTTTTCGTAAAATGTAAATATAAACATAAAATGACCAGCAGATTCTGTACAGATATATACACAAACTCATGACATTTCAATCGGTTTTTTATCCTTAATTTTTTTTTTTGTATTTTTATAGATTTTTGAAACAAAAAATTAAAACACTAAGCTTAGTTTTGATTAATACGGAAAATATAATTTTAATAATTTTAACTTTGGTTAAAACGGTTTCGTTTCCGGCCTCATACGGAACGTAATAATCAACAATTATTTTTATTTTTTTGAACATTATCAAATCTCAACTTGACATAATTATAAATAGTTTCGGTTTCAACGCCAAAGTAACATCAAAATGTGCTATAGCCAACGTGTCTGTATTTCAAACAAAAAATATCTTCACAAACAGTTCTGCACAACCGCTGAATAATTGAATTTCCATTGCGTTCGAGAACAATATTTCCAAAAAACAAACCGTGAAAACGAACTAAACTGGTTGTTTTTTCAGGTGCGCACCACATGCTCATCAAACGGTTATCACTACGTGGACCCAACAGGGGTGACGGGAGGACCGGTCAGCTACAACAGCGGATACGGTAGGGAATGCTCTCCACCGGACGTGGTCGGATTAAACGTTCAACAACAGCAGCAGCAGCAGCAGCATCACCAACAACAACATCAGCAGAGGTCGCCATGTTATGCTGAAGCCGACTCCGGAAAGGGGCAGATCTCGTGAGCTCCTTCTGCGACACGCTGACGTTCAGCCGACCGATCGCAGACTTAGTGCGCAGTGGCATGTTTGGGAAAACGGGAAAGGCGTTAGAATGACGTGCATTTTTAAATTGACAAATTGTTTACAAATATTAAAAAAACCATAGTTCTGCCTTTGCTCGTCCTTTCATTCCTCGCCGTTGCGTGATTCGATGTGTAATAATAAGGAGCATGCGAGGTGTAAATTCTAAAGACGAATTTTATCTCGATCCTGCAACTCGATCGAACAAAAAGCGGACGGGTCTCGATCACTATCAACCAATAAACCCTCATTCTCCGTGTTTTTGAATCTCCGACTCTTCGCACGAGAGTGATCAAAGAAAATGACCTGAGATCAAGACTTCAAAAAGCGTAATCCAACGCGATCTGCGAATGCACCACCGGGACACTGCGGTTGAAAAGTAACGCGCACAATTAAAACCGATATCGTGAAGCCGATACAACGGACTGCCCGGTATTCATGCCCTGTGATTTCAATCATACTGTAATAATATGTTAAGCATTATCGATACACTAATGTTAGATTATAATAATCATTGTGATACATACGCCCCTCCTCCTGTTCAACCTCGTCGTAGTGTTTTCAGAACTCGTGACTCGTTGGTATCGTTTTACATTTTTCTAGATGACCACCGCAATAAAAGCCCGTCACGGTTCTAATACGTAACTCACCGATGTATTTGATATCATTACAATATTATAAATTATTATCATGATTATTTGACACTTTTCGTGTAATGTTTTTGTCGAACGCATGCTGCACGTGTATACGACGGAATTATAACGCCGTGTTTATTGTAATAAGAATAATAATAATAACATGTAAATCTAGTGCCAATGTATATTTTGTATTGATCAAACCATGTGTATAAATTAAAATAAAACCTTCCATTTGTTATTGATCGAACTTTATTTGTTCGTGTTATTTTCTTCTCGTGGTAGAGATGATAAAAATCAAAAAAAAAAAAATAAATCTCACATCATTTATAAGGACATTGGAAAGTTAATAACGGAAAAATGATCACGGGTGTCGCTTATATCCACCTATCCTAACTTTTAAGTATGAAATATTTTGTAACATTAGAAAAATTAAATTTATTAAATCCTGACAAGCGACCATACACAATATGCAATCGTACCCGAGGTGGCATTCAATGTTTGAGATTCATTGATGTCTAAATATTATTATTTATTATTATTAATGTCTAATAATATTGTTTTAATGATATTGCCAAATATTATTTTGATATAATACATTCTAATTAGGATATGTTCATATTTATTAAAAAATTTATAATACTGCATTACACGACCTAATGTAATTGCATGCATTAAAGTTCGACTAATATTTATTATTTTCATCGAGACGTTGAACTGAAAATTAAATATTTTATTTTTCATCATTTTTCATCATTCAGAGCAATTATTGTGTTTATGAATAATGAAACAATGATTATTTCATAAGTAAAGTGCCTACCGTTGCCAATAGACATAGCATACCTGAAAATGCTTAGGATTGTTTGAATTTATAATGCAAATAAACTTACGAAATGTATTATAAAAATGGGTAAATTTACCAAACAATAATAAATATAATTTACTTAGGTACTTTACTAATCAATTATTTAAATAAACATAATTTACTATTAATAAATAAACCATCTGCTTGATTTCTTTTTATTAAAACGATTTCGACCAGAGAGAGTGATCTGAACCTCAAAATCTTAAAAAAATTATTTAAATACTATCTAATTGATATTTTGTAACAGTGTAACTTTAATAAAGTAAAACCATTTCCTAATAGTTTTTTTTTTTTTTTTTTTAATGTCAAAAAATGATTGATAAATTATAAAAATACAGTAAAATTTCTATCATAACATTTTTTCACCAAATCGAATACTTATTACCATGTATCTCAAAAATAATATTTGTAAAGAAATGCATTTTTCACTTAATTCTTCTATAACTGTTTGTTATAAATGGTATACTTTTAAATACAGTTTTTGAGCTACTTAATGAAAGTTGAAATGACATGTGTTCTCAGCTTTTTTTCGTAAATGTCGATAGAACAATTTTGTTTTGGCAAAAAACTGAGAAAATGTAAAACAAAATCAATCATATAATCATATAAGTATACATATAAATTACGGTTTAAGAAAAAAAATTTGCTTTATTTAAAAAAAAAAAAAGTTTTAGATAAATGATTTTTATATTTATTTATTTATTCATTTATAATACTAGACAGTCCTGAAAATGATTAATAAACGATATAAAATTAAATTATAATGAAATTAAACTCCTTTTAAGATGTAACAAACTAATTATATCGAAATGTAGCTATAACAGATCCAACGGGAATAGCTGCATATAATTTACAAAGTATTCGCCGTTTTCGCAGTTACTGGTAGAACATAGACACACTCCACCATACAGACCCTAATCAAATGATTCTCTTAATTCGTGAAAAAATGAAAAATGTAATTTTTTTAGTCATAATTTACGAGATAAGTATGGTATCTAATGAGAAATTGATTTATAAACATTTAGGACTACGTGACATTTATGATACTGGTAACAGTGATGACGGTTGGTTTGGGAAAATCAATATCTTAATTTTTGGAGATCTTCTTCAACTACCACCAGTGAATGAACAATCGCCATTTCTACCATAAAATGCAAAAAATAGTGATAAATATCTACATGCATTAGATGCTATAAATTTGTGGGAAAAGTTGTTTACTTACAATGAATTAACCAAAAATATGAGAAAAAAAAATAGTGATCCTGAATATGCTAATATACTGGATAGAATTAGAATTAACACAGTTACACGATCTGATATGCAAACTATGAATAAACAAAAAATTTGTTTTAAAATCAAAGAAAATCCTGCAGATATAATAAGACAATTGTACGTAACTAAAATGAAGCTACCAGATTTTACACTATTTCTACTTTCTACAAGAAAACATTGGTCATTTTTAAATAATGGAATATAATCTTTATTACTTTCAGATAACATTCGTTTGGAATCAATTAATTCTGTTGATTGTAATCCATAAACTAAAACAAAGCTACAACAAATCTGTCGAAACTTGATGATGATAGTTCGCGGACAGTTGGTCTTTAAAAATATTTAAATGTGAAGTTAAACTGTAAAATCATGTTACAAAGAAATATTGATGTATCAAGTGGTTTGATTAACGAATTTATAGGAACAGTTAAAAATATAATTATTGGAATTGATGGCAAGCCTCAACAAATCCAAGTGATCTTTAACGAAGAAATGTATCACCTTAAACCTGTTACAACAAGTATGAACTTTTTCACGGATCATTCGTATTCAGAAAATAATTTCCCATAACGGTAGCTTATGGAATTACTATTCACAAAAGTCAAGTTATGTCGTTGGAAAATTGTATTGTAGATGTTACTAACTCTATATTTTCTTGTGATCAAACAT